TGAGAACTATGTATATTCTGTTGACTTGGGGTGGAGAGTTCTGTAAATGTCTATTAGGTTTGCTTGTTCCAGGTGAGTTCAAGTCCTGGATTTCCTTCTTAATTTTCTGTCTGGTTGATCTGTCTAATATTGACAGTGGAGTGTTAAAGTTTCCCTTTATTATTGTGTGGGAGTCTAAGTCTCTTTGTAGATCGTTAAGAACTTTCCTTATATATCTGGGTGCTCCTGTATTGGGTCCATAGATATATTTAGGATCATTAGCTCTTCTTGTTGTATTGATTCTTTGACCATTATGTAATGACCTCCTTTGTCTCTTTTGATCTTTGTTGCTTTAAAGTCTATTTTATCAGAGATGAGAATTGCAACTCCTGCATTTCTTTGCTCTCCATTTGCTTGGTAAATCTTCCTCCATCCCTTTATGTTGAGCTTTTGTGTATTCTTGCATGTGAGATGGGTTTCCTGGATACAGCACACTGATGGGTTTTGGCTTTTTATCCAATTTGCCAGTCTGTGTCTTTTGATTGGTGCATTTAGCCCATTTACATTAAGGTTAATATTGTTATATATGAATTTGATACCGCCATTTTGATGCTAGCTGGCTGTTTTGCCCATTAGTTGATGCAGATTATTCTTTTTTTTTTTGATGCTCTTTAGCATTTGGTATGTTTTTGGAATGGCAGTACTGGTTGTTCCTTTCTATGTGTAGTGCCTCTTTCAGGAGCTGTTGTAAAGCAGGCCTGGTGGTGACAAAATCTGAGTACTTGCTTGTTCGAAAAGGATTTTATTTTTTCTTCACTTATGAAGCTCAGTTTGGCTGGATATGAAATTCTGGGTTGAAAGTTCTTTTCTTTAAGGATGTTGAATATTGGCCCCCACTCTCTTCTGGCTTGTAGAGTTTCTGCAAAGAGATCTGCTGTAAGTCTGATGGGCTTCCCTTTGTGGGTGACCCGACCTTTCTGTCTGGCTTCCCTTAGTATTTTCTTTTTTATTTCAACCTTGTTGAATCTGATGATTATGTGCCTTGGGGTTGCTCTTCTTGCAGAATATCTTTGTGGTGTTCTCTGTTTTTTCTGGACTTGAGTATTGGCCTGGATTGCTAGGTAGGGGAAATTTTCCTGGATAATATCCTGAAGAATATTTTCCAGCTTGCATTCATTCTCTTCATCACATTCTGGTACATTTATCAAAGGCAGGTTAGGTCTCTTCGTGTAATCCCACATTTCTTGGAGACTTTGTTCATTCCTTTTTGCGCTTTTTTCTCTGATCTTGGTTTCTCATTTAATTTCATTGAGTTGATCTTTGATTTCTGATATTCTTTCTTCTGCTTGGTCAATTCGGCTGTTGAAGCTTGTGCATGCTTTGCGAAGTTCTCGTGTTGTGTTTTTCAGCTCCTTTAATTCGTTTATATTCCTCTCTAAGTTGTCCATTCTTGTTATTATTTCCTCAAATATTTTTTCAAGGTTCTTAGTTTCTTTGCATTGACTTAGAACATGTTCTTTTAGCTAACGGAAATTTCTCATTATCCACCTTCTGAATCTGAATCCGTCATTTCATCACCCTCATTCTCGTCCTGCTTTGTTCCCTTGCTGGTGAGGAGTTTTGTTCCTTTGTAGGAGGTGAGGTGTTTTGGTTTCGGGTGTTTTCCTCCTTTTTGTGCTGGTTCCTTCCCGTCTTTGTGGGTTTATACTCCTGTGGTCTGAGTAGTTGCTGACTTTTCGGTTGGTTTTCTGAGTGGACGCCCAGATTGTTGATGGTGAAGTATTTCTGTTGCTTAGTTTTCCTTCTAACAGTCTAACCCCTCTGCTGTATGACTGCTGAGGTCCACTCCAGGTCCTGCTTGTCTGGGGTACACCTGTAGCAGCTGCAGAACAGTGAGGGATGCTACCAGTTTCTTCTTCTGCTGTCTTTGTAAATTTTTTAAAAAGTCATTTTATTTTTCTTTGTAGAGGAAAAGAAATCTTACCTAAACTTGCTTCTTAATTTCAAAGGGTGCTAGAAATGTGGTCAACTAGGGAAGACTTTCTTAGGCTCTATTGTCAAACCTGTGGGGAATGTAGGATGGATATGACAGTTAAGAAGAGTTCGGTCTCTGAGGTATCTGGAAAAAAAGTTGTGCTTAGAGAGCAAGCCACAGATGAATGTTTGATCTACTATCTTCCTGGATTATCTGTTATTAACACTTCAAAATTAATGATAATTATATTTATGTCTGCTATTATATCTACTATGTTTTATTTAGTATTTTGTGTAGTAGGCATTGAACTGAATGTTTAAAAAATTTATATGCACAATTTAATTTTTACACTATTTTTTTAAGGTGATCCATAGTACCTCTCTTCACTTCTCCTGGTTATGTTGGACTTTCCAACATCCCCCTTTCTAAGATTCACCTATCCCTGGAAACAGCTATCAGTATTAGTTTATGCTAATTTTTAAATGTATTGCCAGAAACTTTAATGCATGTTCCTCCCCCCGCTTTTTTTTGAGACAGTCTCACTCTGTCACCCAGGCTGGAGTGCAATGGCATGATCTTGGCCCACTTCATCCTCCACCTTCCAGACTCAAGTGATTCTCCTGCCTCAGCCTCCCGAGTAGTTGGGATTACAGGCGGCTACCACCACTCCCAGCTAACTTTTGTGTTTTTAATATAGATAGGGTTTCTCCATATTGGTCAGGCTTGTCTCTAACTCCTGACCTAAGTGATCAGCCCACCTCGGCCTCCCAAAGTGCTGGGATTACAGGCATCAGCCACCACACCCGGCTGATCCTTCCTTTAAAATACAACTTCCAGTAAGCAAATATTTGCTGGAGACAAATTGCCTTAGCCTAAAAGAGCAATTTTCAAATTATGGAATTTTGAACACTGATGGGGAACACATAAATATGGGAATATTTCCATAACTAAAGGAGTAATTTTTCCCCCACATATGCTCTGTAAATGACTGCTTAAATGTTTTCTTCTCCTAGGCCAGTCCCAGTTGTGCTTTCCTCTAATGAATGTTGTTACATCACAGATGTGCATTCCCACTTTAAATAGCAAAGACACATTTCAAAGTTCTTGTTGCAACTCCGTAAAAAGTTGGCTCAACATTTTAATAACTCCCATTGCAAGTAGATTGTAGTTTTTCTTCCCTTATCTACTATATGTCACTGCCTTCTAAGGGGTTTTATATAAAGACAGGAGAAAATATACATCCATACTCCAGGTTTCTGATGCTCACTAAAGAACTTCGGTGATTTGTGTAGGCTTGTGAATCTCAGAGAAAATGGTGTTTTTGCTGCTGGGTGAATAACTGGTAGGTTAAAAACTACATATGATAGTAAGAATCTTCAGAAGCAGTTGTGGTTTGCATTCTCCAGGTAATGCAAAAAAATTAGCATTTATTTGATAATTATAGAAAACAAAAATAATGGAGGAATACTAAAAAAAGTATATATGACTTAAAGACACAAAAATGAATGGTTCCATTAAAAAGGGATTAAAGTATGCTTTCTGGTGACAAAAAGGAGAAAAAATATAAAGAAATCTATGTATATGTTTGAATCAATATAAGAATAGTTCCCATTAATTATTGTCAGTAAAATAGAAATATTCAAATGTATGAAGCTGAGGGTTTTCAATGCATTTAATGTAAAGGGAACTTATCCCATTTTCATAAGAAAAAAACAATTTCAAAAATAAGAAATTAGCTCAGTGCCCAAGCTGGAGTGCACTGGAACCATCTTGGCTCACTGCAGCCTCTGCCTCCACCTCCCAGGTTCAAAGAATTCTCCTGTGTCAGTCACCTGAGAAGCTGGAATTACAGATGTGTGCCACTATGCATGGCAAAGTTTTGTATTTTAGTAGAGGCAGGGTTTCACCATGTTGGCCAGGCTGGTCTCAAACTCCTGAGCTCAAGCCCTCCGCCTGCCTCAGCATCCCAAAGTGCTGGCATTACAGGTGTGAACCACTGTGCTCATTTATTGAGTCTTTCTCCATTTGTTCATTCTTTGAATTTATAACAATAATTTTGTTCTGTTCTAAGCATATTAATATTGACTATAATTTAAATATTAGTATATTGATATTTTAAAATTAGTTGATATTAGTCCACCATGTTTCACTGATATAACAAAATCATTTTTAGTATACCTTGGAAACTTATATTGAAGAAGGAGTGAAAAATTGCATTTTCAAGGATGGATACATTATAATGCAGGATTAGATAAAATGGCATTACCTATTATAATTAAGTTATTACCAAAACTAGATAAATGTTAAAATGTGTAAAGTGAAATATTCAAATGTGTAATATAACAAGGGATTTCATATAGTTTTACATGTGTAAAAAGCAATTTAATTAAAAAATGATTTAGATGCATATAGACTTTTATCAATGCCTGATGTAACATTATATATTTTTTTACTTAATTAATTTTGATCTCATCAAAATTTCCAGTAACCTGAACAAGTTTTCAGTTACCCAGGTAAAGTTTCTCTGGTTAAAGGCTTAAATTTCATTAGGTGACTGGCAAAGTAAACACTACCTGGTCACAAAATTGGATTTCATTTAGTAGGATGGAGTTTCATTTACTTTGTACCACACTTTTGACTATTTGGTAAATACATTGATATCCCATAGGAAATAAAATGTCTAGAACTTGGGAATCACTGTAAATGAAAAAAATTAATATTGAAAAATAATTCTAAGTTCTTAATGTATCTTGCTTTTGTTGTTTGTTTTTCTAGTTTAAAGTATAACTTTGGATAGAATGAAGATAATTAAAGGAAGGAGATTCTCTTTTAAAAACATGTTTCTATGAAATCATAGAATAGTAAAAGTGGAAAATAACTCTTATAAATTACAAGTATGCCTTTTGGTTATCAGTTATTTTATGGAATTAAAAAATTAAAAATTAAATAATTTTTCACCTCATAAGATATTAAATGGATCTTCTGAAATCATTAAAGTCTTAAGTCTAGTGTTTAACGATAATTGATTCAAAATATTCACATTTTTGTGTTTCTAAGAGAAACCTTTGAGATTTCAACACTTGTTTTATTTTTAGTTTTGTTTATATAACTTACTTAGTAGAGCACACAAATGTAATGTAATCTTTTTCAATAAATGTGTTTGATGTAACTCCTTGGGTAGTATTCAGATACGTGTATAATTGTATGGGCATGTGATGACTATAGCTCGACATGCACCGATGCTGGTCAAAACCAAGAGATTAAACTTTTCAAATTATATCTGGTAGCAATTAAGTGGCTCCAAAAAAAAGTCTACCCTGAGGATTTTTAGTTGGATTCTAGGTAATCAATCTTTTAGCGAATGATCAAGTTAATATGTGGTTGTAGAAATATCACATTTTCAAACTCTGTAATTTTGTTTCTTTTAAGATTATAAAGCAGAGTCTGCAGATGAATGGAGGGGTTCAACTATTCCAGAGTATCTGAATTCGTGTTACTTGGACTTGCTGATTCTCCTGAACTCCAGATACTCCTCTTTGTGGTGTTTTCCATCTTTTATTTAATGACCATGTTGGGCAACTGCCTTATTTTGCTCACTGTGATATCCAGCTCACAATTCCACTCTCCCATGTACTTCCTGCTCAGCAACCTGTCTCTCATTGACATGTGCCTGTCCTCCTTTGCCACACCAAAGATGATTATGGACTTCTTTGCTCAGCGTAAGACCATCTCTTTTGAAGGCTGCATTTCTCAGATCTTTTTTTTGCACCTCTTCACTGGAACTGAGATTGTGCTGCTGATCTCCATGTCTTTTGACAGGTATATTGCCATATGTAAACCTCTCCATTATTCAACAATTATGAGCCAAAGAGTGTGTGTTGAGCTTGTGGTACTTTCTTGGACAGTGGGCTTTCTGCATACAATGAGCCAATTAGCTTTTATCCTCTATTTGCCCTTTTGTGGTCCCAATGTTGTAGACAGTTTTTTCTGTGATCTTCCTTTGGTCATCCAACTGGCTTGCATAGATATTTATGTTCTTGGAATCTTCATGATCTCAACCAGTGGTGTGATTGCTCTTGTAAGTTTTCTGCTTTTGCTCACCTCCTACATCATTGTTCTCATTACTATCAGGGACTACTCTTCCACAGGATCCTCCAAGGCTCTTTCTACCTGTACAGCGCATTTTATTGTTGTGTTAATGTTCTTTGGGCCCTGTATTTTCATTTATGTGTGGCCTTTTACGAACTTCATGGTGGACAAAATTCTCTCGGTTTTCTATACGATCTTCACTCCTTTTCTGAATCCACTTATATATACTTTGAGAAACCAGGAAGTGAAGCGAGCAGTGAAGAAAAAACTAAATACCCAATATTTCAGTCTTGGGAAAACTGCTCCATTGATACCTCATGCAATGGGTAGAGAATTCCTCTGTGAGATATAAGACCAACAGTTACATTCTTAGAACAATAAAAAATTAAACTTAGAATCCACCTTTCAAGTCATTTAAATTTATGAAAAGAAGTCAGAGATAAGAAATGTGTGACATCTTACTGAAAAGTTAGTGTAGTGTTTAAAGCCTTTTGAGTTATGAGTCTATTTGATAATTTGTTGAAATGTAAAGGTTATTTTCATAGAATCATGAACATATTATCAAAATTGTGAACATAAATTCAGGACACCATAGACTTCTGGTCCAATTGTTTCTGAATCCTACACACGTACCTCAGATTAAGACTACTTAGAGAAGCCTGAGATAAAATAAGATTCTTCTGTTTTCTTTATTTTTTTATTATTATACTTTAGGTTCTGGGGTACATATGCAGATCATGCAGGGTTGTTGCATAGGTATATACATGGCAATGTGGTTTGCTGCCTCCATCCCCCTGTCAACCACATCTGGCATTTCTCCCCATGTTATTCCTCCCCAACCACCCCACTCTCCTCTGTCCCTCGCCTAGCCACCTCCACCAGACCCCAGTGTGTGATGCTTCCCTCCCTGTGTCCATGTGTTCTCATTGTTCAACACCCATCTATGACTGAGAACATGCAGTGTTTGATCTTCTGTTCTTGTTTCAGTATGCTTAGAATGATGGTTTCCAGATTCATCCATATCCCTACAAAGAACATGAACTCATCATTTATTATGGCTGCATAGTATTCCATGGTATATATGTGACACATTTTCCTTGTCCAGTCTATCCATCAATGATTATTCTGTTTTCTAATTTGGAACTTTCCCATTCTGCACAGCCTTGTGGTACTCTGATGGCATTTAGTTTAAGTTAGAACTATAATTAACAGTGTAGGACAAAACAGGTTTTTAAAAAAGTAACACTGGAAATACTGTTTTAAAACAGGTTAAAAAAATAACACTGGGGAAATTTATACTATGAAGCGATTCTTTTAAGTAATATTAAAAGGGGTTCAGTTGTTTGAGTTCTGTGTCAACTTTGAAAATAAGAGAACAGTTCAAATAATTTGAAATTTAACAATACAGTTTCTTAATAGGTGTTTATGTCACTATCACACTTCATAATTAACATAGTGAATAATCAAATGACAATTTGTAAAGTTTAAATCATAGTAAACTACTCAAATCTGACTGGCTTTCAAAACCTGGCTGAAAATCACAGATATGATGAATTCATTTACCCCCAAGACTGGGAAAAATATTAACTATTTCGTTAATGATTAGTTTTTTATTTCCAAAATAAAATATTGCAGCATGTTATTTGTTTAGAAGAAGCTCTGTGTCTAATTTTCCATATAATATAACCTGTGGAAAGAAAAGAAAAAAGAATTTAAGAAATATGTAGCATGATTCTCCCTAATTTGGTTTATTATTGATTATGGTAAGAAAAATTTTTATTACAAGAGAGTCTTTGGAAATCAGCCAACCAGTCCAATTTTCTAACAGCTGATATACTGAAGGTCCAGAGAATTCATACAACTGGTTTAAGGCTGAATCCCTGTAAGGGACAAAGACATTTATCTAGACAAACATTGTCCCTGGAATTAAATCCTGGTTCTGTCATTTCCTTGTTGTGTTATCACTTTACCTACAGGTAAATATTCACTTTACCTCTATCCCTTTTTATCTCTATAAAGATTGTAAAAGGTAGACTAAATATTTGTCTTGACAATTTTATGGAAAGTATGCAGAATGGGTTCTAAAAATGTTATTTCTATTTCCCTGTGACTTCTATCAAAATGCATCTTATATTAAAGTAATATGGCTTTGAAGAATAACTTCCTTCAAAAAAAGTTACTAGAATGTGAAATGTGATATTCTAGTTTTAGGATGTCTCTAAGATTGCAGCTTGTTAAGACATATGACAAAAAAATGAATAGAACATTTTCCATTTTTTAAAATTACCAATATGGTTGGGGTGACAAAAGTAGGTTAGATTGCATGGTATTTTGAGATACTGATAAAAAAGTGCCTATTTAAAATGACTAAAGTATTTAAAAAGAATTCTGGCAGCAATCTGTCATCATGGATTTGAACAGCGAGTAGCATGAGAAAAACAAGCCTTTGCCTTGCAAAGAAAGAAATGGCATTAATAGTTTTGCCACGTAAAAGTCCAAGATAATTGTAAAACATGCTTCAACACAACCTCCAAGCCACATATGTTATGAAGAAATGTAATGTTGGAGCTAGATATATAATCACATTTAAAATTTGAAACACTAGTTTATTTTAACTAAAACATAAACTCTTCCTTCTTGCCTTGAGTCAGTTAGGCAAATGAAAAAAAAGATTAAGGTGGAAATGTACTTTTGTCTCACTCCCACTTTTCTGCCCAAAATCTTACATTTGTTTTTGAATATAAATATCTGCTTCTGAATGTCAGTCTTTAGTTCAATAATTATGCGTTTAACATCTACTCTGTTTCAGGCCCTTGCTGGGTGCCAGAGATCCTCTAAAATACAAGATCTGTTTCTCTGTCTTTGAGGGACATGTATCCAGCAATTAGTTAGATCAGTCTGTTGTAGGTGTAAATTTCAGTCTTACAACTTTCTTGTTTTGCAAACTTGAGCAAGTTTTTTTCAGTTTCTTAAGCCTCAGCTTGTTCACCTAAAAATGTGATAATAGTACTTAACCATTAGTAAGGTTGTGAGAATTAAGCAAAAAAAAAAAAAAAAAAAATGCAATGTATTTAACAATGCTTGGTATTCATTAATGCTTTAATAAATACTAACTAATAACATTATTGTTATTGTTACAATTGTGTTAAACATGCATAAAATTGCAAGTACTAGAATGGAAATAAGTGTTCTTATTTGAACTTAAATGGCAGAATTTCACATTTTAATAGGATGTATCAACTTACCTAGTATTAATTATTGTTAAAATACTGGATTTTTATCAATTATTATTAGTCTTTGATGCATTTCTACAGTTAGCATTGTCCTTTGTGTGCATTGGCCTTTGTATATTTTTCCAAGGAAGTATTGCACTTTTGGCATTTCTTATTTTGAATGAAGTATATTCCAAGATTGCATAAAATGTAAAAAAAAAAAATAAATATGCTATCTTCAATAGGTTAATATCTTTTTTTACAATAATTTTAAATAAAATAAATGTGGTTAAAAACTCTGAAGTATTTTGTCCCTCATCTTTTACACATTCAAAGGATAGCAATGGAAATGCTTTAAGTTCTTATATACATTAACTGAGAAACAAACGTCTTAATAGTTATCTATTGACTTTAAAAAAATTAATAAACAAGGCAGACTTTGTCCAGATTTATAAAAATATAAGAAATTGTTTATTTTGAGAAATGGTAGTATGTACTGTTTAGGAAACTGTTAAAAATAAAAGCATGAAGTAAGACATTTCATCTAACTAATAAAGCCCTAAAGCTCGAGAATAAATATCTAATCTCTACCAGGGAGTTTCTGGTAGTAGAAGGCACATTCTGGGGGAATCATTTAAGCCCTGAACTAAGCCCTCAAAGCTTTTCTCATGGAGCCTAGTTAAAATTTCTGCATAAATACAGCCTGGCAGAGTAGCCATTCTTCAACATGTTTCACATGCCAGTATCTGAATATGGCTTTCACATTTGCAGTACCCTCGACTCTTCTTTAGACTGCACTTCAGGTGACTCACTGTAGAGCCCTTGTCATCAAAGAAGGGAGATGAATCATAGGTACAAAGAGAAGAGACTGGAGAGTAGAAAGAGAGGAAAAATGGATGTAGTCAAATCAATAACTAGCTATTAATAGAGTCACAATTTTGATTCCCCCTTTTTTCTCATCCACTACCCCATACAATCCATTAAATAGTCCTCCTATTTCAAACATATATATATATATATATATATATATATATATATATATATATATATACTTCATTTATGTCTCTTTATCTCTGCTTCCATCTCCCTAGACAAAGTCTCTACTGCATAGTAACACTCCTTCACAGTATAGTATTACAGGGTAATACTATGAGTACTATGCAGTGAATACTATTGCAATGACCTGCAAATTGGCCTCTCTACCTTTCTCCTCATGGTTTCCCATTTTCATTCTCCATATAACAGCAAGAACTATTTCTAAAACATAAATGTGAGCACATAAAACAAATAGTGGAGCACAGGTTGGGTTCTTCACCTGTATATTATATGCTTTCAAGAGGTCTATGAATAGAATCCAGAAGGTCTGGGAACTTAGGTGAAAAAAGTTACACATTTATTTTTTATTAATATCTAATTGACATGTAACATTTCTTTCGATTATGAATGTAATCAGTATTACCAGTACTTGTGATAATGTCATCACAAATAAATTCAGGCCATAAAAAGCTGTGGCAGAAATCTCACAGCATTGTTTAAGATTACAATTTCATTTTGTTTTTAAACTTTTATTGTAAGTTCGGGGGTATGAGTGCAGCTTTGTTACACAGGTTTGTGTCATGCGGGTTTGCTGCACAGGTTATTTCATCACACAGGTATTAAGCCTAGTAATCATTAGTTATTTTTCCCGATCCACTCCTTCCTCCTACCCACTTCCCTTTCAAAGGCCCCAGTGTCTGTTGTTCCCTTCTTTGTGTTCATGTGTACTTAATGTTTAGCTCTTACTTATAGATGAGAACATGCGATATTTTGTCTCCCGTTCCTGTGTTAGTTTGCTAAGGATAATGACTTCCAGCTCCATCTATGTCCTTACAAAGGACATGATCTCATTCTTTTTATGGCTGCATAGTATTCCGTGGTGTATATGTACTACATTTTCTTTATCCAATATATCACTGATAGGCATTTAGGTTGATTCCATGTATTTGCTATTGTGAATAGTGGCTGCAATGAACATATATATGTATAGGTCTTCATAATAAAATAATTTATATTCCTTTAGGTATACACCCAATAATAGGATTCCTGGGTTAAATGGTATTTCTGTCTTTAGGTCTTTTTAAGGAATTGCCACACTATGTTCCACAAGGGCTGAACTAATTTACAACCCCTCCAATGTGTGTAAGCGTTTCTTTTTCTCTACAACCTCACCAGCATCTGTTACCTTTTGACTTTAGTAATAGCCATTCTGACTGGTGTAAGATGGTATCTCTTTGTGTTTTTATTTGCATTTCTCTAATAATCAGTGATGTTGAGCTTTTTTATGTGATTATTAGCTGCATAAATTTCTTCTTTGGAAAATTGTCTGTTCATGTCCTTTGCTCACTTTTTAATTTTTTTTTTTTTTGTAAATTTAAGTTCCTTATAAATGCCGGATATCAGACTTTGGTCAGATGCATAGCTTGCAAAAACTTTTCTCCTCTTCTGTAGATTGTGTGTTTACTCTATTAATACATTTTTTGGTGTTTTATATATATATAGTATATTATATATATATTATAATATATTATAATATATACATATAAATATATATAATATCTAAAATATATATAATACATATATATATAATATATATAATATATATATTATTGCTCTTTATGTTCTGGGGTACATGGGAAGAACATGTAGGATTGTTGCATAGGTACATACATGGCAATGTGGTTTGCTGCCTCCATCCCCATCACCTATATCTGGCATTACTCCCCATGTTATCCCTCCCCAACTCCCTACCCATGTCCCTCCCCCTAGACCCCCACCACAGACCTCAGTGTGTGATGCTCCCCTCCCTGTATCCATGTGTTCTCATTGTTCAACACCCACATATGAGTGAGAACATGCAGTTTGATTTTCTGTTCTTGTGTCAGTTTGCTGAGAATGATGGTTTCCAGGTTCATCTATGTCCCTGAAAAGGACATGAACTCATTGTTCTTTATGGCTACATAGTATTCCCTGGTGTATATGTGCCACATTATCCCTGTCCAGTCTATCATCGATGGACATTTGGGTTGGTTTCAAGTCTTTGCTATTGTAAACAGTGCCGCAATGAACATACGTGTGCATGTGTCTTTATAATAGAATGATTTATAATCCTTTGGATATATACCCAGTAATGGGATTGCTGGGTCAAATGAAATTTCTATTTCTAGGTCCTTGAGGAATTGTCACACTGTCTTCTACAATGGTTGAACTAATTTACTTTCCCACCAATAGTGTAAAAGTGTTTCTATTTCTCCATATCCTCTCCAGCATCTGTCGTCTCCAGATTTTTTAATAATTGCCATTCTAACTGGCATAAGATGATAGCTCAATGTAGTTTTGATTTGCATTTCTCTTATGACCAGTGATGATGAGCATTTTTTTTTCATTTGTTTGTTGGCCTCGTATATGTCTGCATTTGAAACATGTCTGTTTATATCCTTTGCCCACTTTTGAATGGGTTTGTTTGTTTTTTCTTGTAAATCTCTTTTACTTCTTTGTAGATTCCTGATATAAGTCCTTTGTCAGATGGGAAGATTGCAAAATGTTTTCCCATTCTGTTGGTTGCCGGTTCACTCTAATGGTTGTTTCTTTTGCTGTGCAGAAGCTCTGGAGTTTAATTAGATCCCATTTGTCTGTTTTGGCTTTTGTTGCCATTGCTTTTTGTGTTTTAGTCATGAAGTACTTGTCTGTGCCTATGTCCTGAATGGTTTTGCCTAGGTTTTTAGAAGCTCTTTAGTTTAATTAGATCTCATGTGTCAATTTTTTTTTTTTTGTAATTGCTTTTGGCATTTTCATCATGAAATCTTTTCCCATGCCTATACCCTGAATGGTATTGCCTAAACTATCAGGGATTTTATAGTTTTGGGTTTTACACTTCATTTTTCAAACCATCTTTAGTTAATTTTTGTATGTGGTATAAGGGAGGAGTTTCTTTTCAGTCTTCTGTATATGGCTAGCCCGTTATCCCAATATCATTTATTGAATAGAGAATTCATTTTCCATTGCTTGTTATTGTCAGCTTTGTCAAATATCAGATAGTTGTAGGTGTGTGGTCTTATTTCTGGGTTCTCTATTCTGTTAATTAGTCTATGTGTCTCTTTTTGTCCCAGTCCCACACTGTTTTGGTTACTGTAGCCCTGTAATACAGTCTGAATTTGGGTAGCATGATGCCTTCACCTTTGTTACTTTTGCTTAGGATTGCCTTGAGTATTCAGGTTCTTTTTTGATTCTATATGAATTTTAAAATAGTTTTCTCTAGTTCTGTAAAAAATGTCTATCATAGTTTGATGGAAATAGCATGGAATTGATGGAATTTCTCCAAGAAGTCTTCCAATGACCACAGCAACTGGGGAAGGTTCCAGCATTATATGTTCTTTCTCTATTCTATATATGTTCCTAATAGTGCTCAGCATAATTATAATTAGAAATGATTATGGTATTATTTATTGAATACCTTCATTTCCCCCTCTAGACTGGAATTCCTTGAGGGTAGAGCAAAATACATCATATTTACTCTGTATTGACAACAAGTAACAGAATGCCTGGTACACACAGATATTCATGCACTTATTGAAACATCAAATGAACTTCCATGATGGAATTATCTGCAGGTTAGTTTTGGAGTATAAAGGAATTATTGGCCAATTGTAGTAACAGAATGTGGTGACAGTCTGGTAGAATCTTAAAATTGTAGTAACAGAATGTGGTCATAGTCTGGTAGAATCTTAAAATAGGATCTTAAGATAGCAGGACCGAAGGGAGAGCATTCTAGGCAAAAGGAAGAGTACATACAAAATGTGGAGGTGCAAAACAACATGATGTGTTCTGAGAAGTGAAACTCATCCATCAGTTTAGAATAAAAAGATGCTTGTTAGGAGATTGGTAAGATATGAAGCTAAAGATTTAGGCATTTAGATAGACATTAAACTACTTATGAAGATAATTTTCTATTTACAAATATGTATACCTTTTGAAATAAAATCTTATAATTGAGGATTTATTCTATAAATATGTCTGCATATGAAAGAAATGGTATATGTTCACTAGTACTTACTGTGGCACTATAATAAAATTAATAGAAAACTTTATTATCTATCAATAAGATATAAATTCAATAAATT